TATTATATATTATATATTATTATATTATATATTATATATTATATATTATTTTTTATTTTATTATATTTTCTTTTAATATCATTATACAATATTATACTAATTTTCGTTCCTATTTGTTTTCTTTTTTATTAAATTTTTTCATTTTTTCATTTTTGTTATTTTTTCATTTTATATTTTCTCTTTATAATTTAATTTTTGATTTTTTTCTTTTTTATTTTCTTCTCTATTCTTTTTTTTATTCTTTTTCTTTATTTCTTTCCTTCATGTATCCTTTAAATTTTATTTTACTTTCTTTGTCTTTATTGATCTCTTTCTCTTTTCCTACATTTTCAATATTTTATAATTTTTCTTTTTCTTGTTGATGTATCATTAATGTATCCGATGTTTAATTTTATATTTTTCCAATCCGTAATTTTATATTAAAATTTTTCTTTCTAAATCTATATATTTTTTTTTTTCTTTATTTTTAGAAATCATTTCCTCATGTAATATTATAACATTATATGTAATACATTATGTTTTGCATTATATTAATTTTGTTATGTTTTACTTGATCTTATTTTGTCTACACTTTGAAAGCATAGTTTGAGCATAAATAATTTTTAATATATGTATATAATTTTTCTTTTTAAATGATTAAACTATCAATATAAAATGAAATAATATAAAAATTAATTTTACTTAAATTTACTTTTTCTGCTAATATACAATTTTTTTAAAATATAGTGAATATCTAATAGTTATTTAATTTAATAATTAATTATTAAATATTTAGTTATTTAATACTTTATTTAATCAAATAATTGTAATCAAATTATAATCAATTGTACAAATGTATAATCAAATCGAGTTTGTTATTAATATTTACATCGTTTTGCAAATGTTTACAGTAAATATATTATTATAACGATATAAATATTAGCTAATGATATCATACTTGTAACATTCAACTTCTTTAATACTTAATATAATAATAATATATGTTATTTAGAAGAATTTTTTTAAAGAATGCGAATCTAATTGATTATTTCTAATAAATTCAATAAAACTTTCAAATAAACATTCAATTTCACATTTATGAATCACATTATAATATGATTTGAATATTTTCTTTGCTCTATGTCAAAAGTGTGAACATAACAGCAATTATAATCAACATGTGAAAAGAGTAACTAGATACTATTTATGAAATGATTAATAAATATTATACACGACATTTTGATATTTGATTAAAATATTAAATATATCTTCAATTTTTACTTAATATTTAAAAATTATTTTGTATTTATTATTATTAATTATAATGTTATAATACTACATGTTAGAATGCAAATCTATTTGAAAATAAAATTTTTATAAATTTCTATAAATTGCTCTCAAAAATTATTTTTCGCTAATGAATATTGCATTAAGTTAAATGAAATCGCGAAAATCATACGAATATAAGGATATATATAAAGGATTATCAACGCATAATATATATTAAAATTTCTTATCTTTTCTCCGAATAATATTGAATTTTATTCTATGATGAGAAACTTACAAAAATAAATGTACTTACCAAGTAATAGCAACTTGATGTCCTTGGCGGCTTGAATACCATCTTCCTTGAGATTTTTCTCGATCTGTTTGCTACGGGCCAGTGCGGCCCGCTCTTCCGCGGACATGGCGCAGCCCATCTTGCCACAGGTTGCCTTCACAAACGCCACCACCAAGCCTCTGTTCTTTCCCTCGTCGACCAAAAAACCGTTACTCTACTCTTTTCGTGGTCACTATCACCACCAACCACGGCTCGCGACTCACGTCGCAGGAGTCGTCTTTTCCACGGTCACCACCACTCTCCTCCGCCGCCACCTCCTGCCCGTCACCTCCGCCGCCACCCTTCGACACTTACTCCCCGACGTCTTCGTCTTCTTCGTCTTCGTCGTTTCTCTCCTTCTCACTAGCTACTGCTCCGCGACACTTGCCGCTTCCTACTGACGAAGCCCGCCACCCTGGAACGAGTTTAATCCTGTCGCAAGCACTAGTTCTGTAACAATATTTACAATTTATATTTGTGTATATATAATTTATTGAATCATATCTATTACTATTTATTAATTCTATTCTATTATTCGTATATTCATAATAGATTAATTATATATCGTAGAAAGGTTGTTCCAATCATTTTGATCTTCATATATATATTGATATCAAGGATATCATTCAGAATAATTTTTTCTTATAACTTAATCGATAATTTCTTATAAATTCCAAAATATTTGCCGAAAAGAATTGTTATTATTACATAAAATTTTATCTATAATAAACATCTATAATAACTAATATTCAGTATACGAGTATCACTTATTAATTGTTCATAAATATATATATACACAATATAAACATAATATAAAAATAATTAGCTAATATTGCCATTTACATTTATCCATTAAAAAATTAGATATTTTTCGAATCCATTAAAAAATGCAAAAATGAAATATAAAATAATCTTTATATAATCGAAGTTACAATAACAATTATTAAAGAGAATTATTAAAGAGAAGACTGATATTGTTTTTATTGCAACTTATTTCATATAATAAATTTCATTAGTTGATACAAAAAAAATCAAAAAAATATCAAAAATTTTTAGATTTATTACAATTATAGATCGAAAGTGAAAAGTTTATCGTGATATTTGATATTTTTAATCATTTAT